AAGGAAGGAAGGAAGGAAGGAAGGAAGGAAGGAAGGAAGGAAGGAAGGAAGGAAGGAAGGAAGGAAGGAAGGAAAATGTTCTATAATGGAGAGAGTACCTTGGGCTCAGCCCAAAGCATGGTCTAGCACCTCAGATTTCAGTTCATGACTCTCAGCTGAGATATAAATAACCAAGCTTCAAGGAGGTCATCACCTTTGGGGGCTTCACATAAAACAAAAATTGCTGGTTGATTTTGATTTTTACTCTGCATCATTGCCTTGGCTTTACTATGAGGCTTCCTTTGAAGTCTTCATACAAAGGAAAGATTAGAAGACCATCCCCAGACCAGTCCACCAATAGAAAAATAATTCAAATCTTTATATGGAACCTCGCTTATGCCTTATGCAGCTGTTTGTGACTCGCCTGCATCATCAACTCCATTCCCCAAGGCAGCCAGTGCCACACTGTCGATCTCACCACAGTACAAATGGTGACGCTGAGGCACTAAGATTAGGTAAGGGGTCCCAAAAACACAGTGTTAAGAGAATTAAAACCCAGGCAGTCTGGCTCCAAAGACTAGACCCAAATCGAACTGAGCTAGGTGCTGATTGTGGAGGTGCTGTTAGCTATGAGTCACTCTTCTGTGGTTCATCATGGTGACTGGAACTACCTGCCCCTGACCTCTCTTCTCTGCCCAGGGGCTTAGTCAGCTCTTAGGCACTGGTGACACACTCTGCAAGGCGGAGATCCAAGCCTTTTGATGGCTGGGAGACTGACCTTGAACCTCATCTGCTCTTTGCTACACTTGAGTCTTATTATCAGGATCGCACCATGAGTCTGGGAAAATCCAAGACTGTATTATTTGGTACTGAAAGGACCAAGCAGGTGCCATAACAGGCTGCTCAGTTTTCTCTCAGAGATCAAGCCTCAATTTCAGTTTCCTGAGATTTGAGCAAGCAGTTCCTGGGAGGGCCATGAACAAAAGACATAGTCTTTGCAGTATCTCCCTTTCTGCATGTACTCTGACTGCTCAAGGTGCAGCCAATTGTTTACTGTCTGGGACCCCTCACCAATTTAGAACTACGAGCATGGGTCAATGTGAAAGCCTGGGCCACTGAGTCAGCCCCCACAGTCTAGGCCAGTCAGCCTCCACAGCAGCTCAAGGACAAAGGCACGTGTAAATGAGGAGGGTCTCCAATCAATAAACCAAACAGGATAGTTCAAGTAGCCAAGTTCATCAGAATCGGTCCAGCATCCGTCAACTTTTCTGGGGGAAAAAATGCCCACTTACGAAGCCTGCAAACTATCTTGCTTTCAAAATCAACCTAGTAAAAATCTTACATGATTTTGCACTAATTCCTTTGATTTGGGGTTACAGTTTTGAAACCACATGTTTTGAAACTGTTTGTGATCTGCTTCCCTGATGTTTCTGCTATGAAGCAAATTAAAACAAATCACTCCGATATTGCTGGGGGAGCAGTCAGTCTCTTCCATTTAAACTGTGGCATGGGCACGTTTTGTCATGGGATGTTATGAAAAGCTTATTCATTTGACTTGCCCAACAGTGCAGCTAAGTTTAAACTACAAATGTTGTGATCCCCCTGAGCCGGCTACATGTACCCTGATCTTATTGTAGAACTACTGTAGGAGCTGGGAACTTTTTTTTGTCATGTTAAGCATTTCCATTTTTTTTTTTCTTTTCCCAATGAAATTATATGGAGCTGTCAGCAGCCAGCCATGGAGCCTATATCACCTGGACTGGCTTGGTCAGCTGCCATCACGGTCAGTACGCATTCTCTCCTGGATCCCTTGGTTCACCTTCCCCAGGGCCACTCAGTCTCTGGTGCTTCCTGCCCTTCTTTGTGCCATAGCTGGCACTCTGCTTCAACAGCCAGAAGAACAAACTGGAGGAGTAAAGGCTTCCTGTCTGTAGAACCTAATACCCTATGTCTCCCAGCCTTGTCTCCTGCCCCGGTGAAAACTGGCTTCTCCATAGCTTCTCCTATATCAGCAATGAGCACACCATCATTGGCTCAGGCAAAATTGCTCATACATGATCCACCTTTCCCCACATACCTGGTGGACAGTCAGCTCATGTGCATGAGTCATTCGTTTTACCTGTGAAGTCTAGCCTACCTACACTGGTCCCCTACCTCCATTGTCACCTTTCTCATCCACAACATCATCTGTTGTGGGATGGTCTGTATGTCAAATTGTTCTGATTGGTCAATAAATAAAACACTGATTGGCCACTGGCTAGGCAGGAAGTATAGGTGGGACTAACGGAGAGGAAAAAAGAAAGAACAGGAAGGCGGAAGGAGTCATTGCCAGCCACAACCATAACAAGCAGCATGTGAAGATGCTGGTAAGCCACGAGCCATGTGGCAAGGTATAGATTTATGGAAATGGATTAATTTAAGCTATAAGAACAGTTAGCAAAAAGCCTGCCACGGCCATACAGTTTGTAAGCAATATAAGTCTCTGTGTTTACTTGGTTGGGTCTGAGCGGCTGTGGGACTGGTGGGTGACAGAGATTTGTCCTGACTGTGGGCAAGGCAGGAAAACTCTAGCTACAATCATCTTGCATTTGGGTTTTGTTGATAGCTTTGTGAGGGTTTTCTGGTGCCTCATCAGGCAATTCTGAATGCACAGACCCCAGAGAACCCCTAAGAACCTAAGTCAAATCATGCAGGATCTCTGGTACCCTTCTACTTTAGCAAGAGGAAAAGCCACTGTCCTACAGTGGCCATGTGGAACCATTGATAGGATGCTGTCACCTCTCTGGCCCTGTGTCTTTTGGCCCTTATTACTGTTTGTTAAAGGTATAAGGCAGACCCTTCTGTCCCCATTGCTCCTTCTCCCTGGACACCTCACTGAAGCTACCCAGGGACTAACTCTTCTCCTCCAACCTGGGTCTAAGACAGACCTTATCAACAAGACTCAGCCTGACATCCTAATGTGATTTCTGTTGCTGTGACAGAACTCTCTGGCTTGGGGGAAGGAATAGGTTTATTTGGCTCACAGGTTACAATCCATCATTGAGGGAAGCCCCAGAAAGAGCTCAAAGCAGGAACCTGAAAGTAGAAGCATTAGCAGAGTCTATAGAGGAGTGCTGCTGCCTGGCTTGCTTTTCCTGGCTTGCTCAGCTATTCTTATACAGTCCTAGCCCACCTGCCCCAGGTGGTGCCCACAGTGAGTAGGGGCTCTCTTGCATCAAATATCAATTAAAATATCCCACAGGCCAGTCTGATGGAGGCAATTTCATAATTAAGGTTCCTTCTTTCCAGGTGACTCTAGTTTGTATCAAGTCAATAAAAACTAACCACTATACCTAGAGACTCCATTTCTTCCCTTTTATTCTCTTTTCTCTTCTGTTCTTCATTTCCTTTGCTTCTAGTTTTCTTGTATATTTATTTATTTATTCATGTACGTATGTATGTATGTATACATGCATGCATGCATGTTTGAGGAAGCATGAATGCCATGAAACACATGTGGCAGTCACAGAACCTCACCCAGAAGTCAGTTCTTTCATTCCAACATGTGCATATTCTAGGGATCAAACTCAGGTTGTCAGGCATGGCAGCAAGAGCCTTTCCCTGCTGGGCCACCTCACCAACCCTTCTGGTATTTTTAATTCTTTAGTTTTCTTTTCTTTTGTTGCTCCTGATTTTGAGGTGGATTCACATAACATGAAATGCAGTGCTTAAAATGCACTACCCCCGGGCACTGCCCTCACGGCGTTGTACGATCATCAACACTAACTCCAATCCCTTTTCGTCTCCTCCCAAGTAAACCTTGTACCTGTAACAGTCATTCCCTGTCCCTCCCTCCTCATCCTTCAGGACAAGCACTAATCCTTCATGTATCTGCATGCATTTGACTGGTCTGAATATGTCCTATTAACAGAGTGATACAATATATCTTCATCTGTCTGTCTGGTTTCTTTCCACTTAACATGACGGTTTCAAGATTCCCCCATGATGAACATGGATTAGCTGTCATTCCTTTTAATGGATAGATAACATTCAATTGGGCTTATGTAACACATTTGATCACCTATATATCCAGTTATGACATTTGGACTATTTCTGCTTCGTGGAAACTCTGAAAGCATTGTCCCAGTGTCCTTTTGAGTACCTGGCCCACCAACTTTAAATTGTCATATCCCCTTCATATTTCCTATCTCCTGACCCACTTTAGACTTTCTCTGGGGCATTTGTCACATTCTAACTACCCATGTA